GGCATGATAATTTTTTAATGCCCAAGTCTGTCATATGTCAGTTTTTCCATTTAATGCCTAGTGGAAATCCAGCATAAGTCATAGGCTTTTGTGGCCACTTCTGGGGTACCACCGGGTAGTATTATTGGCCCGATTATTTTGCTTCTGTTTATCAATGACTTTGGAATCTTTTTTAAATCACTCAAAGTTTTTGCTCTGCGAAATATGATGGCCTATTTAGGAGCTTGATTTTATTTACTAGAAAGTATTAGGAATTACAGTCTGTCTGTGTTGGAAAAACTCTTAAAAGCCAAGTATAGCTAAGCGAAGGAAATGGTAAATAAGTATCACGCGCTATTGATTATAGTAGATTAAAGGTAAGATATCGGATTATATGAAATAGGCATTTACTGTTTACGTTGCTGGTCAAGAATCAATAAAGGCAATCAACGTGTGTATATATATAATATCTCGTTCAAAAATTCCTAAGGAGCACGGAAGTAGTATAGGCTAGGCCAAAAGGCCATCGAAAGATTCGAAATAGTAGAGGACATTGCCAAAGGTACTGCTTATTTGGATAGCAAATACTTAAGCGACTTAAAAATGTAAAAAAAGAACTACAGAAGAGTATCGATAATATACCACAGAGATCAGTAATTTCGCGGTGAAATATTTTACCTACCAGCAAAACTGCGAGTGTAATCTATGATAGTTGGTTGGCACACGCATTCAAGATAGGTGGTGGCTATTCAGATATCTACGGAGAAGGACCCCAGTCGCCACGTACTGCTATAAACTCACTAAGATCTTCATCTGGTATCACTAAGCACAAAAAAGTTCATGCAGCCTGATTAACATAAACAAAGCTTAAGAGGAAAGTAGGTATTTTAGAAGAGTACTAGAATGATCCCACAGGAAGAACGAATACCATATTTCAGGTTAAACCTTGGAGTAAAAAATTTTCTGAAAGCAGCACAAAGAAGTAGCTTAGTAGGCGAATGGGTCAAGCCAATATACTCCTGTGTCATAAATTGGCATATAAAAGAATATATTGGCAAACAAAAACAACAAAAGAGTTTTTCTCAAATCACGACAAAAGCTATAAACGTGTAAGAGGCTACATATTGCACTTACCTTCAGAGTACATAAATACTATACCTTTGCATATTTATGGTCATTGTAAAACATGACAATACAAAACACATGCGTATGTACATAGCAAATTATGTAAAGACACGTGGGAGTATATGTATGCTTGTAATCAAGAGCACTGTGCCTTTTAGAGACGACGTAAAATCGGGTTGGCCCATTGATACAAGATTTTTTGTTTTGGCGACAAGTAAACAATGTCTCAAAAGGGTTTACATATGTATGTAGGTGCCAACAGACATATAGAATGTGTAAGTGAATTCAAAAATTGCGCACAAAACACAATGGAACTTCACTTTTGTATCTGACGTAAATCACTTAAAAATGTGTAGAGATAGAATGCGATAATAGCTACATATGTATTTATTAATACCCAAATTATTCCACATCATTTATGTATAAGAAAAAATAATTTGCTTTATTTCAAATTAATTGCTATTTTCTACTGGCATTGTGTTTTTGTGTGTGGAATACGAAATGATGTACGAATTACTCGTTTAAGTGCGACCATTTAAAGCGCGCCAATAAATCACTCGAGTGGCATGTCTTTTTAGTAGTGTGGGCACAATAAACTCAAGACACAGAGGCGGCAGCATTCGAACAAACAAATAATGCATTTATAGCAAAACTTGCCGCTGGTGGGCTGATTTGTAGCTAAATATAGTAAATCCTTTAAATATTTGCGAAAAACGATTTATTCTTCTAAAGAAAACTCAAATGATGTGAAGAGGGTCTACATCAGTCCCAGGCGAAATACACACACACATGGCACACATAGTGCACATTGCCTCGCGGTGGCACTATGCAGCTGCCTGGCACTGGTCTACACTACCAATACCAAGTTCGTTGCTTAAGTCTTTTGTTTGTCACCAATTCTTTGTATCTCAAGCAATATTGATATGGTATTAGTAATGGCTTATAAGTGAGGTAATTCTCTGCTATACCACTGTATTTATTTGTGCATACGTATGTACATAGCTTAGGTTAAATTCGATAATGTAACATAGTTTATAAACTTTTTAAATTTCCTGCATTTTAAGCATCAGTTTTTATTTTTAAATTATAATAAAATCAATTTCATTTTCTCCCACCGATTTGAACCATAAGTTTATTACTCATTGCCCAAATATGAAAAAATCTTTTTTTCTTTAAAGTTTTGGGAGTTAAACTTTCACAAAATTTTAATGGCCTTTTCATTAAAAAATAAAGAATAATTTTAATGGTTTATAAATCGAAAATTTTTATGAAATGCCATTTTTTAAAGTATTCTTTAACTTTTTATGAATGAGGACATCATATTTCAGAGATTTCGCCAAAGATGAATAAAAGTTGCATATATCTGATCTAAGTGTCCGTGGCTATGTACATATGTATGTATATATGTGCATGCATACGTAACTGCGATTGTTTGTGTGATTGCACATAAATAAGCAGCAACACCCACCGTTCTTCGAGTAAAGCCAAAAGTCGATCAGTCAGAAAGTGGACTTTAGACACGCATATTGTACATATAAATGTATATACACCTTTTAATAAATTCAGCGCACACGCTTGCGCTCGCATCTATGTATGCATGAAATCGTATTTTATTTGGCAAAAAAAAAAAATCAAATCTCAATCTATTGGCAACACAGTGCAATGACAACTTTTCAATTTTTATTGCTGCTTGCCTGCCGGTCACTGTCACTGACAAATTGTTCGTTGTCCAATGGACGCCTGTTCTGCTCTGCCAATTGCCACTCTTGCCACAGCTGCTTGGCGAATGACTCAATTCGCTATCGAACTAGTATCTTAACAAACGTCACTGAATGTGAGTTCATTCATCGCAGTGCGCATATCGCCACTGCGGCAACAGCGTCGCTTGGTAAAGTTGGCGTTGGTAATAAGATTATTGATTTCACGCCGCGTTACTGGCGCTGAAGGCGCGCAAATGTCGGTGCAAATGGAAAACAAATAGCCAGGAGCCAACAAGCAGGCGGCAATTTGGAAACGCTTTTAAGTGCAAAAAAAAAGTAATGAAAAATAACAACAACGTCAAATGAGATTAGTTACAAGGCATTCTGTGTTGTTGCAACATGAAAAATTCTGAATGGACCATTTTTATTGACCAGCAGTTCAAACGAATGAATGAATTGGATTTCAGCGTCGCAAAATTTTTCTATATATGTCCAAAAATGTACACAAACAAATAATCCTTTATTAGTCATTTAAACACGTGCAGTTTACGGAATACATAATACACGATTAGAAGCCAAATGAAAACTGAAAATAGGCGAGGGTATTGTGGGAATTGCATTGAAAACTTGCAATTTATTTAACCTTAGGAAAAGTATATCGAAAAATATGCTTTATTCGATTCTTGGACCACGGACGGAACACTGACCTACAGAATATTTGCAACAGAGTAATCTCGATATTTTTTTGAAAGAAGAAATCAGGCTCTAAGACAAAGTATGTTTAATTTTTATTTTATTTGCATTCAGGGGTTGAGGGGTCATAACTTCAGAAAGTTTTCGTTGATTTCAATAAATTATACCTAGTTTTATTAAGCATTAGACGGGGTTTTGAAGGAATTTATTAAGGACAAATATATTTCAGAAAAAAATTTGGGAAAATTTCCTGTTTAACTTAAGTTTTTTGAACAGGTATTACTCTTTCTGCTTTGGGTTTATTTTAATCTCTCTAAATTGCCAAATTTTGTTGAAAAGTTTTGACGAAAAATCTACATTTTCAAAATTTTTGCTACATATACAACTCATTTTGTTTGCGAAAAATGAGGCTATCTACATATAGTATAAGTGATGAGAGAATGAAAATTTCTTTCTAAAAAATAATCACCTTTTAAAGCGCAGCTTTAGAATTTTATTCTCTTTTTTTACAGATTGAAGGAAAAGTGTTTTTAAACACTTGATGCGGAGGCACAAAACGTCCTCTAAATGTCTATATATTTTTATATATATTGGAAGCTAAAAAGTTAGGTATTGATCAGGCTAATATATGTACATACATGGTTGCATTTTTTGCCGAGTGCGCTACATTAGTTTTAATATAATTGGGGAGTTTTCATTTCATTCGATTCGAGTCGAAAAGAGTAATTATTCCATTACGAATGCCGCGATTCAGGGCCGCCTTATTAGCCCAGAAAAACAAATGAACAAATAATGGGCCGATGCAGCTAAAATCACCCATTAAGAAAAAAGTGCAATTTCCTGCACATTTTATTGTTTCCCAATAAACATTTCTCAACCTTTCAATGTTTCTGAATTCATACTAAAACTCAAAATTTCTGAACAATAAAATGCGATAAAAATTCTTTATAATGTGAAGACATCGTCGCTACCATGTCAAACTCTCAAATGTGGCAATGTGTATTTTTCAGGATAGCAAAAAAAGTGTGGGATTCGACACTTTGTATCCTCTGCTTCAAATAAGACTAGAAATTTTACGATTTGCCATGATTCTAAACGCATGCGCAAGGCATCGTAAATGAAAAAGCATTTTTGCACATTCGATAGTTTGACATGGCAGCGACGACATGTCAAATTTGTTTTTTTCCATGAATGAGCTAAGAATTTCTGGATTCCAGGAAATTGTTCCACTTTCTTTCGCAAAATATTCGATCGGAGTTTTAGCTGTACCGGCGACTCAAACATGCCATTTTCACTATTCACATAGCTTTTTTATATTTTCTATGTTTTCATTAGTTTTCTCTGTGCCGGCTTTACAGACTTACGCTTAACAGCGGCTAAATTCACTGTTCACAGCTCTGTTAATGATTTCAATTGCCTACTCGCTCAGCTTGTAGTTCTTCATTCATCTTACTATCCACTATTGCCTACATTCAGGCGCACATTTAAAGCCACTTTACTTACCTTATCATTCGTTTCCTCCAATTCGAGTATCCGGAATTCCAACAGTTCATTTTGTTCGCGCAACTCATCCGCCTCCGTGCTCAATTGATGCTCATGCTCCTCGAGTTGTTTCACACGTGCCATGAGTTGTTGTAATTTGGCATTATTGTTGATCTGTTGAATTGAAGCAGAAAAATTAAATTGCAATTCAAAGCACAAATAAATAAATATAAAACTCACATCCATGCTGGTTTTTTCGGCATCGAGTATATGCTCCTTGGCCAAATTCAGCTCCGCATGTAAATGTTCGTTTTCCTTCTGCAAGATTTCATTATCCTTTTGCAGTTTTTGCAAATCAGTGCTGTAGGTGCGAATCTGTAAATGTTAAGTAGAGTAAGAATTGAAATAACGTTTAGATATACATTTTATCAAGTGTCTGACTGCAAGCGATTACGGCAAAATTTACAAGAAATTGTTATTAATGCAAAAAATTGGCGCACTTACTACTTGAAAAAAAACATGAACGCAATTTTCTCAAAATGTTGTTTAACAAAAGCTTTACTTAACATAAAATCATAACGTCACTCAGACACATGTTTGCGCTTTTTATTGCACTCTTTGTTCATATGCAGCCCCTTTACAGCCAGCCTCACAGGTTCATTAACGAGCAGCCATAAAAATCGCCATTAACTTTGTCTCGCCGCATACTCGTTAGGCCAATGGGTTGCAAAGAGTGTTGCGCTCTGTCTGATTGACTTTCTTGGCGTATGCTGCCACTCTGGCTGGCTTCTTAGCTGACTCTATGGCAATTTACTGATTGCGGCAATTCTCAATCACACAGCCACAAACATGTCTACGCATAGAGTAAGTACAGTCATGCAGAAGCATATATAACTTTAAAATCTCACTTCTAGTGCCACAAAGAGAAGTAAAGAAAAAAGATAAGAAGAAGCATAACACCGAAAACACTAATTCCTGAAATAATTGCCAGGCACTTTTTTCGCCACACTGATTTACACAATTTTGGTCGGCGGCAATAAAAAACTTAAAAGGATCAGAAATTCTACTCTTGTTTTTTAAGAACACATGTATGTATGTGTGACACTGTGCAACAAAAAATCGAAGAATTTTATCCCGAATGGAAGTAGAGTTAAAATTACGGTATTAGCCCGATTTGAATAACAAATCACGACAGATTGAATATATGGGTGAAAATGAAGCCAGCGATTTGTGCAAAAAATGACAAGCGATTTAGGCGAGTGGTTAGAGTTGCTTACTAGCAGTCGATAAGATCAAAGTTGGATGACAAGTCCAACCTCCGAGTGTATTTCTGCCATGAAACCGTCTTTCTAAAAACCAATGTCAATTAACAGGCGGCCAAAAATGCAAGTCTGTATATGTGTAGGCACCAAATGTGTATGTACCTGTCGAGGGCTTATATTCAATACTATCTGCAATTTTCATAAAAACGAGATTCTGATATAAAAATCCTTAGCTTAACTGTCATCTCTGATGTTAATGTTGACCTTGTATATCGATTGTATGAACAATTTTGTTATAGAATTGCAAAGTTAAAATTAATATTAGTGATGACATTTAATTCCCAGATGTGCTCTAACATCAGAAAAAAGGTCATTTATTGGTGTAGAAAAACATTTATTTCAGTGGAGAATTTGTTGCATTGTGTATGTTTTATCTTAAGGCTTAACCATTAAATTGGAGTTTTACTTGGTGGTGGCTTTAGATAAAGATACTGCTGTTGTCAGTGGGCACAGAGCCCACACAAAGAGTACATACAAAAAATTGCTGATTAAATAGAAGCTGTGCGCCTTTCATGTTTAAATTAGATACAGCTAAAAAATATGAAGTATTCAGAAGCATTGTTTTTTCGTAGTTTCTTCGTTTTGATGGAAACAAAACGCAACCGTACATTGCGAATAAATTTGACATAATTTTCATTCTAGCAATAAGATTTCTGAAAAATTATGACCAAGGGAAGGCAAATCAAAGAAAGGGCATATGGGTTTGAATTTTAGACTTGCTTATATTTTTAATTGCATGCATCGGCGAAGCTTCATATCCATGTCATTTTGAAAAATAATAAATTTTCTGATTGTTTTGTATAGGTACAATGGCTTAAGAGAGAGGATTAGGATTCGTTCGGGAACGAAAAATTGTACCGAAGATGATAAAAAGCTGCAGGGCATTACAGAAGTTCGTTCCAAAATACATTAGTAGATACTTCTTTCGCAGTTATTGATATCCCTTTTTTTTTTGAATATTTTAAGTGAAAATATTTAGAAATAAAAAAAATCTAGAGGGCTCTTCAGGATATTGTGGAAACGGTATTAGATTTGCAGTTGGCATTGCATTAGCAAATTTTATGCTTGCTACAATGGTAATCGTGTGCATTTTATTGTTTTGAATTTACAAATGCACTTATATTAATATTTAAATTATATTTTTTTATAAATTCTATATTTTAGTTACTTTCTTTTTGCTGCAAGTTTTTATTTAGCCACTGGTGATGGAAAAGCGATAACATAAAGTGAAAATTCAGTACTTCTTATCAACGACGAATTTAATTAATGCAAAAAACACAACTCATGGAAGGCAACAGCTAAAACCTGCCGCAAAGAGCATGTGCAAGTCGTGCGCTAGGCTAAGCGAAAAGAAAAAAAAGAAAAAAGAGTATATGCACACTAACTAATACTAAGGGAATGAATGCACTAGCCGGATCTGTAAGAAGATAGAAAAACCTATTCAAATTGTTCAGGCAAACAAAAAATAATAAAAAAAAAAATCGAATAATCACTTTTGCTTTTGTTGTGACGCTATAGATTATCCGCTGCTTGCCTTCATCACTCATTTAGTGAATATATACAGACATACATATGTATGGACATATGTACGCAAAAAATATGTACGCAAAAAATATGTACGTTTGTGTTAATCAAAAGATTTAAGCGGCAAACTTGTTTTGACGTGCGCAACACGTTTTATCGTTTTTTTTTGCTCTTTAACTCGACGATTTTGATATTCGAAAAAGGCATAACCAGAGAATTAACTGTATACTCACCATTTGCCAAATATCAGCTGTGTCCAGTCCAGCTGGCGGCGGCTGTGGACTTATGGATGGTGGCGCTGATGAGAGTGCCGAATCCGAATCGGAGTGATTGTCCTGCGCAGAATGAAAAGAAAAACATTTCAATAGATAAATTTATGTACTTAAGTAATTATTTTAAGATAAAAAAGCATTCCAAATTTACCTTCATTCTCTCGTCGTGCATATCGTTGTGATGTCGATTATCCGCTTCAGCTGTTTGTGTGGTTGTTGTTGTGACCGTTGTTGTTGTGCACATATTGTTAATTGCAGTCGTGCTAACCGCTGTTGTTTCTGCGGGTGTTTGTGTTTTTGTTGTTGTTGTTGTGGTTATTATTCCAGTTGAACTCTCCTCTGCGTGCTCTCTCTCTTTTTGTTGTTGCACTGGCACATATTCTGTTGTTTTTAGTAAGTTGTTACAATTTTCATTACTTATTATGACTAATGATTTGTTTGATGACGTTGTGTTGTTGTTGTAGTTGTTGTTGTTGTTATTGATATTATTATGAATTTGTTCATTATCGACATTTACATTTAAATTAAGACTAACATTTTGTAATTGTTTCAATTTGAGATTAGTTTGTGTATCATTGAGTATTTTGTTTGCAATCCCATTTGTTGTTGTTGTTGTAGTTGCTTTTGCCGCTGTAATAGCGGCACTTGATTTATCATTTGAATTGCCTATTTCAGGCTTGGTGGACTTATTATTATTTTGTAGATTTTTTGTATTATTGATCAGCTCAAAATCCTTGAGTTTTTTCGCCTGCAAAAAGACCAACGAAAAAAAAATAGTCAGAGAATGAATAAAAATAAAAATGTTTATATGTATGTATCTATAAGAATATGTATTCATGCAAAAAATTTAAATAACGGAAATAAAACATTCGAAAGTAGCAGGACTGTACACGCTTTGGCGAATAAATAGCAACTATAATTAATTTATTTCCGTTTAAATAAAAGATACGAGTTTTCAATTTTTAATTTATTTAATTATTTAAGATTAATAAAGTTTACAATGAAGATAAATTAAATATAAATTGAAGAAATTTTAAGTTCAGCAACACATCTCCGAGATATAGGAAGATGAAACCGGTCCTCGCATAACGAAGACGATCGTTCTCTGGATAGCGATGTCTACTCCAATCATAAGCGCTGCACTGTTATGGGGTTTCAGAACGGGTGCTTCAGTAAGCAGTTGAGGTTGTGTTTGTTTGCTGGGTAATCTCCATTTGCTGCTGAATTCGCAGAGCTTATATTTCACACCACCCAGCAGGGGTGAGTAGTGCGTAGGGTATTTTCTTTGGGTAACGAGTTTGAGGTGCCTTCTTAAGTCAATTGTTATTGTGATTTCGTGGGAGTTTGCTTGGGTACAGCAATAACGCTAGCGCCAAAAAAGCACTTGTTGTTGAAGGAATTATGCATTTCTGTTGCGACTGCGCTGTTTGATCCAGAGCATAAAACGGGGAAACTGGATTATGGGACTGTGAAACATCTGATCTTGATACTCCTATTTTTGCTGGCTTCAACAAGCTTTCTGCTGAAGAAGGTATTGTGACCATGACGAAAATGGCGCTTGTCGAACGTGACACTATTTCTTCCGTCGTTGAGAAGAGGCCACACTCATCAAAGTTTTAGGATCGTCGTGCTCTTTATCGTCATGGAGAGACAATCGAGCAGTTTATTCAAATTTCCACCTGTTGCTTCGACCTTGGTTTTGCGATCCATAAATCTTTATTGGGATTTAGAGTATCGAGTGCGGTTAACCACAAATGAGTCTGCCATCGGGAAAATGGCAATTTGACAACTTGAGGTGCGAGATTTGATCTTATGAAGTTAGAGTGTGACAATGAGGACTTGCCACTTAGAGGTGCAGCTATGGTATAGCCTGGGTTTGAAAACGCCTCCATTTAAATTGACGATAGTCACAAATAAAAATTATATACGGTTACGGTAATGGTAAGGCAGCACAGCCATCTAAATTGTAGTGTTAAAAAAATAGATTTCGATTCAGTCGGAAAGAAATATCTTTATGAAATCAAGAATCCAATACTTATAAGCTAGCACTGTTTACAAAGCACTATTGCAATTAGGTCCTAAATGCAAGGATATCTATTCGGTTTAAGAACTGGAAAATAGGAAGGATTATACTTCCTCATTAGTGCTTCAAAACAGCATCAAGGAACCGGCACCGGCCAGTTAGCTTTTTCGTGTGCCAGGTAACTGCAGCGTCTTCCAAGCTGAGAGTTTGGTTATGGTAAAGGTAGTTTTTCTTTTTTAAATAGCAAAGTTCCAGCCGTAAAAGCCGTAAAAGCCACTGTTTTCATTGAAAGGCTTTGAAAAATGTAGGATTCAAAGAAGTAAAATCGGGGATTGTATAGAAATGCCACGCTTTGCCACATTCCTGGACATAGTATTTAGCGTAGGAAGCGATAGGAACTGATAGAATGGTCAGAATGGTGAAAATACCGTCATTGGTTATTCAATAGATATTCATATCTAAAAGACGAATGGCTTCAGTTACCAAATTTACTAGCAAAATAAAAGTGCAAGAAAATGGCTTGTAAATCAAGTCCAACCAGGAAAGAAATATATTAAAAAATGGATATACGGAACATGCCGATCATTTTTGTGTCACTTAAGTTAAACTTTTTCATATAAAGAAGGTTAAATTGTATACTATAAAACGATTGTAAAAAATAAAATTAAATAATTGCAAAACCTTTGATGTAGTTTACACAAAATACCAAAACAAGCGGGAAGAACCCAGAGTACAATATTTTTTTTTTATTCAATTAAAACACTATGTATTCTGCAGGAAAACCGAGAAAACAATCAACAGGAAATCATAATCTTTTTTAAAGATATCAACAAATTTATTCACAGCCATCAAACAACTACGATTGTGCAACTGCACTATGATGCAACCTCATCCTGGTACATCACCTGCTACCAAAACACGTGCGCCATAAAACACACTCACACACATAACATTAAGATATGTGCATAAGTTTACTTAAATGCAAGATATAAAAATGTAAGTGTAATTAAAAATACGCCAATGAGGATGGTACAGATAAAACAAAAAACAATATAAAAATTCGCATATCTATAAATGCATAAGTAAGTACATACGTATGTGCCAGCACTTGTGTCTGGGAATGTTGCAAACATTCATACACGTGCGTCCGCTCATTAAGCAATTTTAGCAGCAGAGTTCAAGCCATCAACAGTCAAATCAATCAATCGGGCGGTATTGCCTAATGCAGCGTGATGCAGCAGCCAATTTCGAGAAAAACTAAAACGAATACAAACAAGCGATAAGAGTATTGAATGCAGCAGCAACAACACCAACAGCAACAACTAAACTAGGAAATCATTGTGGCGGGACGCCCACTAATATGGCGTCTGCCACAATTCCATCAACCATCATCGCATACCTCAACGCCTGGCTGCTGTTTGCCAACGGCCAAGCGACGTACTACGGTGAATGCCGCGACCGCCGACTGTTTGGCTGCTGGCTGCTTATTGCTGACTGTTGAAATGATGATTGAATTGTAAATGCAAACATTTGACTCGCATTTTTCGCTTTTTCCTGCTAAATGATTTCCTTCAACATACACGCGAGCACACACGCTCACACACACACAGAAATTTAGCCGCCCTGCAAAAATCGTCGGACCAGGTGGTGCATTTGTGCCGCAACTGGAGTACCTACAAAATGCTCCTCAGCAATGTGGTGGTGGACCAACCCCGATCATTGCTCGGGTTTTAACGATGTTGTGTTGCCAAGAGGTAGGTACTCCTTGAAGTGGTTATGTGCTACCCTCCTGATATAATGCAGAGCTGCAGAGCCCTAGTACATGGCAATATTAATTGGACCACATTTTTTATATGCATTTCGGTTAAGTTTGGAGTACTCCTGGACCCTGAGCGAGTACTCTTTACATGCATTCATCGAGTAGTCGCGATTTTTACAGTGCGCATATAAACTTACACATACATACCCTGTAGGGAAACCCCGAACTGGTGAACCAAATTTGTAGTCCCGTACTAGATCTTTATCGTCAAAAACGAACCAGTCCGATAGTTACTAGATCGCCACCAGTTCAAAAGCAGCGATATGTGGTACTTTTAAAAAACAATCTTAGAAATCTATATCTAAAATGACGAATTTAGAACTGGTTCAAAACTATAGAAAAAGGGATGCAGAACGAACTAGATCTCATCTGGAAATTTTGAACTAGTTCGAAACCACTGAAAAAGGGATGCAGCGGGGGCTTGTTTACTTTAAATAGATTTTTGCTTGGCGGGTTTTTCGTTCAAATACGCTTCCAGTCTGCACGTCGCAGATGCTTTTTCATAGTTTGGTAATACAAAACTAAAACTTCTGTTAACATCTTAACATTTTGGGAGCTTCTGGAATATAATCAATAACAGTCAGCACCTCTACAAATTCAGCTACAGCCAAAGGTATGTAAACGTGTTTTCAAATGCAAAATTTAATTTACATTCATTCAAACAAATCTAATTTCAAATTGAAAATACATTTCTCTGCAAATAATAAAAATTGCTACCATGGTAACCCAAAAAAAAAACATCTTGTTACTTTTTTCGTTTACAACTGGTTCGAAACTATAGAAAATGGGTTGCAAAACGAACTAGATCCCATATGTCGAATTTAGGACTGGTTCTGAACTATAGAAAAGGTAATGCAGCGGGGGACAATTTCCAATTCCTATGACATCGCCGTGTTAAATTCGCCAGCTGTTTGAATGCAAAAGAGATTTATCGCGAACTAGTAGTGGTTCTTAATGTACTAGAAGCGCACAAGTTCAAAACTAGAGATTTTCCCCACAGGGTATGTATGTATGTATATATGTGACTGTGTATTTGAATGACGGCGTTTGACTGAAATTTGCTTAAAGTTGCCACATATCCGCATTTGGCATTTGGCGCGTTGCATGCTATGCCAAGCGAGTAGGGCTTTTCTTTCCTCAAACCATTTTTGTTATTAGCACTAACGTTGACTTGTGTTGCTGTTGTGGTTGTTGTTGTTTTTGCTATTCATATATTACTACAAACACCCACGCAATTCGCAGTCAGTCGAATTTTCAATAAACACTTTTAAAAAATTAACTGCTGAATTTTTATAGGTACTACTTGCATATGGAGATATAAATTTATGCATATGTACGTGTGTGCGTGTCTTATATTTCGGCTGTCTGTTGTTGCCATTCTTGTCCAACTGTCTGCATCAAATATGTTTGGGCTTTGGTTTGTGATTGACAGCAGACAGCAGACAGCAGACAGCAGAGAGCAGTGTACAGCGGACCAGACCATAGAAAAACAACGTCAGCAACATGTTGCACATGCAACATACTCGTACAAATAGCCACACGCAAATTTGAAACAATAAATCTATTTGGGCAGTTTTTCGCTCGTAAGCTAGTACAACAACAACAACACGCAGCAGTTTCTTAGCAAACATTTACATGCAAAAATATGCAAAATACTCGAAATTTGTGTAAATGCAGCGAAATTTATGTTTCTCCCGTTGTTGTTGTTGTTATTGCAAATGTAAGAGATTTTTTTTTTTTTTGTTTTATTATTTGGCGTAACTTATGCTCGTTGTACTATAGTTATAAATCGTTTCTTTTGGAATTTATCGGGTGAGTGATATCGATTGCGTGGCTAAAAGAGTGTCGCAACTACAAAAAACATAAAAATGGTATTTAATTTTTATCGGGCACACTTACGGAAGAC